AAAAAAAAAAAAAAATTCTGGCAGGGGTGCCTGGCTGCCTCTGTCAGAAGAACATCTGACTCTTGATCTCAGGGTCATGAGTTCAAGCCCCACATTGGGTGTAGAAATTACTTAGATAAATAAATATTTTTTAAAAAACAGTCTGACAAAAATTTGATATTTTTGGTGAAGCCTTAATATAGTAACATGTTCTGGCCTTGTGAAATCTAAGTTTTAGTTCAATCCCGATACAGGTTGAACAGTGGTGAGTGTTTGTCACTGTCTGTCACATGTCTGCCACTGGTTTTAAATGTACAGGCGCTTTGTGCTCTAAAGAAGAAAAAACCATAGACCCTTCTTTTTTCCTCCTTCCGGCACCTATGAATGCTCTTCTACCACCATTCTTGTCTGTGTCTTTGTTAAAGGCTTATGTGATGTTCTGGAGACTGGGACCCCTGGGTCAGGAGTCTAGCAACAGGTTGATAGAAGGCCCAAGAGCTAGGAACTGTGATGTTAGAAGTCTAGAATGGCCTGGTTTGCCTGAAGGCATCCCAGAAACTATTGGGCATTCTTAGGAGACAAAACAGAACAGATACAAAGCCAGCATTGTCACTAAATGGAAAAGCATCAGCATTGGCATTGGTGTTGACCATTCGCATAACTGTGGCACCATATTACCTGAAGCCATTTAATCAGGGCTTCCTTCTGATCTCTGTCTTGCCTCAGAAAAATCTTTAAGGCATATTTGATGATGTCCCTGGGAAGTTATCTTAGAGTCGTCAACCAAGCTCACAGCTTCAGTCTAAACCACCTTTTCCCTCTGTTTTCTTTACCAATCAACTACGTGCTTCCCCCCCCCTGCCAATAATTGAAACTATAATCAGAAGTTTACCATTTCTCAGGGCACCTTGCTGGCTCAGTCGGTGGAGCATATGACTCTTGATCTCAAGGTTGTGAGTTCAAGCTCCACGTTGGGCCTAGAGCTTACTTAAAAAAATGGCTTACTCTTGGTTCTTTGATCATCCTAAGTGACTTCATTGATATTTAGCTCCCCTGAGGCAAACGGCAGTTATAATTGGATGTAAGATGATGTGGGAAGGGGTGGTTAGAGGTGACATGATTAGGATTGATGAGAAGGGAGAAAAGAGCCTGCTGCCAGTTGAAACAATGGATCAGCCAGCTTTTTGTCCATTTATCTATGTCAGTGCTCCTTAATTCTCCTCTCCTTGTGAGACTATTTAAAGGTTTAGAATTAGAGCTGAGACAGATGCTATAGCCGTATATATGATATATTGCTTTCAAAAATAACACTTATCTTGGGGCACCTGCCTGGCTCAGTCGGGGGAGCATGTGACTCTTGCTCTTGGGGTTGTGAGTTCAAGCCCCACGTTGGGTGTAAAGATTACTTAAAAATAAAATCTTAAAAAATAAAAAAACACATATATCATCAGAAACAAATTTAGAAAATTCAGAAAAGTATAAAAATACAGGTTGCCTGTCATCCTACCTAGAGATAACCGTATTTTATTATATTTATTTCCAGTTTTTACTTTTATGTTCTGGTTACTGAAAGAGTACATGCTCATAGTTGAATATTTGGAAAACACACAGAATTATAAA